ATTTCCTTATAAATGGTTTTTTTTTCCCGGCCAGTTTCCATTCAATACTTAGCCAAGACAGTTTTTAACACAAGTCAGAAACACTGATTGAAATTGCGTTGATGTAACTATATCTGCAGAAGCATGATGTCACAAGCAGGGAGTGATTTGGGAAAATTAAACACTTCTCACTTCTGTCCTGTGGCTCTCACAAATACAAACTCTTTCATCATATGGAAGCCGTGGGAGCTGTGGGATGGGAAGAAGTCTTGAATTACTAAAAATTGCTGCCACTGGTGATGTCTCCCCAGAGGTGGAGTTTTCAATAATTATAAACATTCTCCTACCATCGCAATGATCCCCATGACTTCCACACAATGAAAGCGATTATACAGGATCCATGAGAGCCAAGAGACAGAACTAGGAAGTGTTTAATTAAAAAAAAAAACCTGCTAGTAACATAATCTGTAGTTACACTTACAGGATTTCAGTCATTTGGTCGTCTTCAGGAGAAAGACGGGGTATAAATAATAAAATGAAAATGAAATTGTGCAATGCTTAGAGTAAACTTCCTTAATTTGGTATCCTCCTGTGGATGACAATCTCCATAATTTCCAGCCAGCATGATTGGTGTGCACTCTAACTAGGAATAATAAGATTTGCAGACCAACTCTTCTGGAAGACTTGAGTTGGGGAAATTAGGCTTAGACTCTATGACGGGGGTGACTCCGGCTCAGATCCCCATTCAGATAAAAAGCTCGATGTATGGCAGCCACTATTTCTTGCCTAGCCTAAAATGCAAGATTGTGAAGGGCAAACAGTGGGCATGCCTATGCTGGCTAGAAGAGCCATTCTCAACCGTTTTCTGGCCATGAATATAAACACATGAAAAAAATCTGGGTGGAATCAGGATTGTATAAATCACATAATGAACCTTAAAAGATGGTGTGTGAAAATTGTTTCCAGTCTGTGGCCCCTTCAAATGTGCCAGGGGCCCCCCAGGGGGCCATATGGCCCCTGTTGAGAATGGCTGATCTAGAGCTTCCTAAATGAAAAAAAGGAGTACTGTATCATTGTAATCAGATAAAATTTCCTTTAGTATATTTAATACAAACCTATGTTTCCTTTCCATGAAAGAAAACATCTGCATGTTTATGGTAGAATCACACAGTTAAAAGGACTGATTGGCTAGTGCATATCTTGTCACCATGAAATCTTCTGATTCCTTTTAATTTTTATACCAGTTTTTAATTAAAAAAAGGTTTAAACTATTAACATGAGAAATGAGCTGATAAAACATGCATATATTTGATTTGCTAGAATGTACACTAAACGACTAAACAACAAAACAACATTTGTCATTTCAGCTACAAAAGTCAAGAAAGGCAGGTGATCTCACACTGTAGCTGAAGAATCTGGTGTGGACTCAAGTTTTTATATACCTCTCACCATTTTCTTTCCCTCATATATTGGCTGTTGCACAGGACTGTGAGGCATGTAGATAGCTGGAAAAAATGGGTCACCCCATTGTAAGAGTGAACTTTCATTGTGCTTGATTCAATTCTGCTGTGCCAGGCAGCACTCTTGATAATCTCTGATTGCCCCCTGTAAAATCGATCCTTAAAGCAGTTTGCTCTCAATAGCTCATATAAAAATTAGCAACATGACAATTACAAGGCTGTGTGAATTTGTGTCCGGCAGTGGGGAGCATCTTCTTCTAGTTCTTGATACATCATTGCATTGTTAATGGCAGCCATGCATATTTATAGAGTTCACGGCCTGTGGTACATATGCACAAGCTTTAGTCTGGGTTGCAGGCCTACAGCAGCATGACCGTGGGGCACAGCGAGAGGCAAACTGTGATTCTTGCCATTAGAGTCATGTTTCATGCCTGTCTTTCTGGTTATTTCTTCCCTTATGTGCTTGACAATTCTGAGGGATAAAAGTTCTACCTTAGGCCAGAATCTTATTAGCCTGATATTAACAATATAAATATGAGTCGCGAATTGCCGCCAGTTAAGAAGTCAGCGCTTGGGTTTTTTGTTTGTTTGTTTGTTTTTTGGTCATGGCCAAACCATATGGCTGCTGTGTGGTGCATCCTCCCCTCAAACGCAATGCCTGCTTATAAACTTGTAGCCATTCATTGCTGAAAGTTGCGCTAATGGGTGTAAGCAAAAGGACTTTTGCTGTAGTTGGCAGTCTCTTACCTGTGTATATCTTGTATTTATGTTGTGATTCTTTCTTGGATCCTTTTTCTCTTCATAGGACAACAATAAAATAGGTGGAAGGTCAGACATATAGTAAATGCCCTACTCTCCATTACCTTGTAAAGTCACCATGATGTGCTCAAATCTGTTCTGAGTTATGATTGCTGGCTATCCATCTGACATGCAAGCCTAAATGTGTCTCTTTGAGCACAATAAGGTTTAATTATTCAGTAAGTGCGAGACGGAGTGCAATCTGAGTTATGATTGCTGGCTATCCATCTGCCATGCAACCTAAATGTTGAGCACAATAAGGTTTTATTCTTCAGTAAGTGCGAGACGGAGTGCAGTCTAAAGTTGCATGTAGTATATTTTCAAATATTGTTTGTCTGTTGCATTTATATTGTACCTTTCCTCCAGTGAGCGCAAGGAGGCATATGTAGCTTTTTTTGCTCTGGAGCTTTATCCTGATTACTGCCCTGTGAGGTTAAGCTGAGAGACAAACTGGCCCAATGCACGTCGGGGCCAGTGCACAGCTCAGTGGGAATGTAAAACTGGACCTCCCATCTCCTAATCCTGTATTCTGACCAATAGACCACTTTGGCGACACACACTGCCTCTTAGATAAGTTTTCATATGTAAGGGTGGGTGACGCCTTTTATTGGCCACCACAGAATCTTACAAATTGCAAGCTTTCATGGAGAAAGTCCCACTAGTCTAAAGAAAAGGAGGAGCTTAGATGAGGCCCCCAGAAGGGGAGACCAGGGGCCAAGATTCAATTTTCTAAAGTGCTTCCTTTCAGGGTAGAAAGCTAGCAGTTGCTGAGTATTACTATAGTTTGGTGTTGTAATAACTCTTGCTATCCAATAACTTCTTGCACTGGTCAGATGGCATTGTTGGAAACAGTTCCATCAGTTTTTGGCCAGAAGATATAGCTATCAACCATGTCAACACAAGGAGCCAGTATAGTAAGCTCATTGCACATGGTTAAACTGCAGTGCTGCATTCAACAGACTGAGTTCAGTCCCAATGGATGCAGGTAACTAGCTCAAGGTTGACTCAGCTTTCCATCCTTCCAAAGTAAACTGAATACCCAGCTCACTGGGGGGGGGGCAGGAGGGAATGTGTAGCCTGCATAATTGAATTGTAAGCCACTCAGAGAGAGCTTTAAGTGCTATAGGGTGGTATAAAAGCACACACTTTTAAACTTTTATAGCGTATAGAGAAGTGTGAAGTCTGACCATTTTTCTAAGGATGTTGATCCCTGACAGAATCTGCTAGGGCCTGCTCATGAATTAAGCAGTCGGAGTGATTTACCCCAAAATTTCAGGGCAGGGTCCCTCATTATCTGGTCCCAAGCCACCTTTGCAAAGGTCACGTGCGTTTTTGATCAGGTTACATAAAAAAAGAGCATGGCTGAAGCAATTTATAAATTCCTGGTGAACCTTCTCAAAATGACTATATTTTAGTGGTTTCATGAACTGAAACATAGCCTGTTAACATTGTGCTGACATTTCTAACAAGAAAACTTAAGACACTTGAAAACCATACACGATAGTCACTTTCCAATTTCTCCTTCAAAAGAAATGTTAATTATTTCATGAATTTTAAAAGACGTTTGTATGCTACAAGCTGTACAGTTAAATGGTACAAACATTACCATTTCTCCCTCATTCTCTGCACAGATAGAAATTTTCTAAGGTATGAAATATAGGTATGTATTGTTCATATAATGAACCAAATATAGTAGGAACACTTTCTTTACATGGTTCAAGGAATACCAACTTATATAAAAACGATCCATGATCTGTCCTGTCCCACTAGCTAGTTTTCAAGCAGGAACTTTTATATTAGGACATGGTAATAAAAGTTTCTCAAAAAGTGATTTGTATTTCAATTAAATCAAAATCCTTAAACTGATTTAACTGAATAAACTCAAGCATATCAGTTGTTTGATATACAGTACGTTTACATAATGTAATATAACACTGGAAATCTGTAGCGCAGCAATGTAACTCTGTCACTTTGAATACTTGAATCACACTGGCTTTTAAGAGCAAAAAAGTACTTCAGATATAGGTGTGAACAAATTAAGCTAAAAGACTTCAGTATAAACTGATAAACAGTAGGATCTTGCTCCAGGAAACCTGCTGAGTTCAGTGGAACGTTTCCCCTTATGAATATGTTTATGTTTACAACCTGTGCTCTTATCTACAATGACCTAGGAGAAACTGTCTAATGTTGTCACTGTTAGATTTTTATCATTTAGCTTTGAATATCATTTCACAGCATGTTATCTTTAAAGGCAGGTTATCAATCTTTCAAATACATTAATAAAAAATAAAGTATTGTATATCGTATTGAATCTGGCGGAACTTAACTTCCAACAAAAGATACATAGGACCAATCTGGTGAAGATGATTGGATCATCAGTCCACAGATTCTAAGTGTTCTTGGATGTACTTTTCCCCTTGAATGAGGAAAACTGACTACAGCACCAGTGGATTACATTAAAAAAACCTGGACTGTTCAAAAATCCAAATACCTCAGCACTGTGCAAAGTTTTGATTAAAATATAAATAATAGTGCATGAGCAACTATTTTGTCTCTTTTTCTAAAACACATGGTGTCAGCTTTTCTCTTAATTCACTACTTTTTCCTCAGTTTCCAACTCTTTCCAGACAGAATCAGCCTGCCCTTCAATCCACTTGACGAGAAGGAACTGATCTGAGTCTTTTATTACTATCACATCACAAGCAGATATTTGTTTGATTTCCGTAGCACCCTCTCCCCTGTCAAAAGTGTTGGAAAACTTACCAACCACTGGAGCTGGGATAGGTGCGATATGGAGTCAGTGTTCACCGGAGCAGGAACTTTCTCCTCTGCTGGCACCGAATCCTCCTGCACGTCTTATCTAGGGAACAGCAGTAGCAGTTGCTATGACGATGCTTTGTTTTCTAACTACCCCAGGAAGGGAAAGAAGAGTACCCTTTAGCCTGTGTGCACTAGCAGAGTTTAATGATGCCGCGCTCGCTGCTTTTCAAATTAGTGTCAGAAAAAGGAGGGGAAAGAAACAAGTAAAAAATGCCAAAGGAAAATATACATCACAAAAACAGAACTTAAAAGATCTCTTGCCCCAGAAGGTGGCAGAGGAACTGGCTAGGGATGTTAATAGGAAAAGATAAGAGGTAAAGTATGTGGGCCAAGGCAACACTAGTCTGAACTTTTAACCACACACAAATCTAAAACTCAGAGCAGTGTCGAAGCTAAACCATTTTTTTCCCAAAGGTGAGCCAGCTAGACCATTCCTGAGAAAAATAACAGTGAGGAGGAGAAAACGGGAATTGGTTTGGATGCAACACATAAACATTTGGAGGAAGGTACGCCGTGTCTGGGAATGAGGTTTCACTGACGACTGTGGTGGTTGTGTATGTTTATGGATTGGTTTGTTACACAAACTTGGCACACTGGTGCCATTTAGGGAGGCAGGCGGGGAGTCTTCTGTGGCCGTGGTGTACATGCCAGCGCTGACCAGAACTGGCTATTTTCGCCTGTAGCTTTGGATAGAGGTTTTGTTTGGAATGGGAAAGACATACAAACATGCCAGCTCTCTGGAAGGCTAGAGGAAACTTTCAGCCCACCTGGCAGCATTATGAATCAGAACCCTTTAACCATTCACATGAAAAGGGATTAACCTGTGTAATTTCCTTTAAAACATTTTGCAGCATCAGACTTCCTGATAGCTAATTGTTCCGATTCCTGTGCCATTCCTATCTGGTGGCCACATATCAATTTCACAGTAACTTCTTCCATCGGAAAATATAAAGACAGAGACAACATTATGCAAACTGGGAGAAGCCTAATTATCTAGAATTTACTTTCTCTTTCCAATTACAAGCCAATAGAAGCAATTGTAACTTGGTCACCTCCATCATCTCTGTACTACCATGTTGCAATGTGTATAAAGCTGGGAACATGTATATCCCAACATCCAAATGCCCCAGTATATTTAAGACAGACATGTGAATCTTGCACACACACCCATCTCTTGGAGAGACATGGGGGAGAGAGATCAGCCCTTTTTTGTTGCAGTGAGATTCCTCTGGACATACAAGATTTTCTCCCCACTCGCACAACCAAATAATTCACAGGATTTCTCTGCAGTTTTATAGTCCTTTTCTCTGGGGAAAAAACTTTGCAAGATTATTACAATTCCTGTGTAGAACATCTTTCCTAGACATGATTCACTCATAAATGGCAGGGAAAAGACATAGCTATGAAGGGTTATTATGATTCCTAGACATAATAGCATCTTTTCTGCATAGGATTCACTAGAAAGAGCATCGAGCTGAGGCAGACTTGGGAGTTTCTGGTGCAGAACAACAGGTGGAAAGTGTGGGTGGATGGCGAGCAGGGTCTTGTTTTCTCAGGAAGCCAGGAAATCCCACATTTGCAAGAAGCCAGGGGAAAATCTTGCAAAATCCTGGAATGACGAATGCAAGTGTAGGTACCGGTAATATTTTTTATTGAGCCCCTTTTTATTGAAGTGGATGAAATCCACTTCCTCAAGCTCCAAACACACATTCAAAAAAAATGTCCAGAGATTGATGTTACATAGATATGTAGAGATGGTCAGTTCTTCCTGTGAGGCTGAGTCTCTTACTATCTCTTAACAAGGTTTGGAATGTTTACACCCTGGCTCTTGAGACAAAAAAGCTGTGAATTACCTTGCGACTTAACACACCATTGCTCTCCTTTTTCATTCAGAAAATCAAGACTCAGATAATCACCAAGAATGAGACATTTTAAAAGTACCCATCCTATTTCTAAATAAAGCCTTACCAAGATAGAAGACAGGGCTTGCGAATAGACACTCTACAAGGTGATGCAGATTGTACCTCTAAACAAAACCACATTTTTCTTGGAAATGAGACTTCCAAATTCACATCCCATTTTCCACTGGGAAAAAGGCAGGGTAGAAAGCTCCAATAGTATTAGGAGGAAAAATACTTTGCAAAACAACTCTTCCTGATAGGGATGAAATCTGCAGAAATTGGTTTGTAGATATGAGTCAGTACAGGTGACTGCATTTTTGGAATGTCCTTAGAAGCCGAGTTTCAGAATTTAATGCTAAAGCATTGTCAGTAATAGTTATATTAGTGCTATGTGATGTGACACTTATCCAGAAATTTTCATTACCCAAAGAGCTCAACTACTCTGTCCAGTTTGAGGAGCATCCTCTCTCAATTTTGAAGAATGAGTGCCTGCTAGATCAGACTCTTCCAGGAGAGGCCATTTAATGATTCCTGGCATCATAGAGGCTCTGCTTCCCCAGTGATGTTGAAGAACTGATCAACTGCGCATCATGCTCTTTTATTTTATCTCTCCAGTCATATGCAACAACAGTACTTATATTTTCCAGTAAATTATTTGCTGCGCCCCTTTGCTTCTCCCATCCTTCACTCATTGTCAGTGATAATTGAAAACAGAGGACAATAAATATTTTCCTCTTAATCATTAACACTTTTCATGTCATTTGGTTGGGAGACTATAAATGCATTCAATATCTTTCAAACAGGGTTGTAGGAAGGACTATATTTCCATCCCTGAAAACTCTGTTTACCCCTCCCCCTAGACAAAGGATTAATCCTTTTGAGAGAGTATTCCACCTTACAGACCATAACCCCCTATGTACAGTGCACCTAGGTCTGCTACAGTTGAACATTCTTTTGAGAAGTTTGAATTATATATGGTCATCTGTTTTAAATTAGGGTGGATTTTGCAAATTATTTTGGATTTGTGGTATGTGGAACTCTCCCAAGGCATTCTGTACCAGAATAAGGGCTTCCAGATTGGGGTCAACACACCCTATTCCTTTTAGAAAACATTGTGACTCACTTTGACCTCAGGTCTGTGACATTGTTTCTATGTTTCTATATCTCTGTTAAAACAAATATCCTGCAAATGGGAGAGAAATGGAAATGGCTATGAGGAGGGGCTGGCTATAAAGTGCTGTACTTGTGCAAGCTATCCACTCAAAGCCCATACAACAATCATCCTTCCACAACCATGCACACACATACTGTATGCTCAATCCTGTTGGTATAATAATGGGAAGTTAATGTAATTACTCCCCTTCACGGATTGCTGCCTTCTTGTGGTGAAGGGGCTTGAGTAATTCAGAGAAGCTATGGGCTATGCCGTGCAGGAACACCCAAGGCAGAGAGGTCATAGGGGAGAGTTCTGACTAAACGTGATCCACCTGGAGCAGAAACTGGCAAGCCACTCCAGTATCTTTGCCAAGAAAACTCTATGAACAGAAACAAAAGGCTAAAAGATATGATGCTGGAAGATGAGCCCCTCTGGTCGGAAGGCCTCCAACATGCTACTGAGGAAGAGTGGAGGACAAGTACAAGTAGCTCCAGAGTTAATGAAGTGGTTGGGCCAAAGCTGAAAGGATGCTCAGCTGCGGACACACCTGGAAGTGAAAGGAAAGTCCGATGCTGCAAAGAAAAATACTGCATAGGAACCTGGAATGTGAGATCTCTGAACCTTGGTAAGCTGGATGTAGTCAAACAGGAGATGGCAAGAATAAACATTGACATCCTGGGCATCAGTGAACTAAAGTGGATGGGAATGGGCAAATTCAATCCAGACGATTATCATATCTACTATTGTAGGCAAGAATCCCGTAGAAGAAATGGAGTAGCTCTCATAGTCAACCCAAGAGTGGGAAAATCTGTACTGGGATATAATCTCAAAAATGATAGAATGATTTCAAAATGAATCCAAGGCCGACCTTTCAACATCACAGTAATCCATGTTTATGCACCAACCACCAATGCTGAAGAGGCTGAAATGAAGACTTACAACACCTTCTAGAACAGACACCAAAGAAGAAGTGGGGGGGGGGTAGCAGTGAAGATGGAGTCAGTTTTATGACTCAATTTCATAGAAAAGCCTCTTTTTGTGGCAGCAGATGTTCTCCCAGGTGGTCATTCCTGCTATTTCCAAATGTGAGTACGGTGCTTGTTCTGTTCTGTCCTTTCTTTCTTTTGGTACTTGCCTTGGAAAGATGAGGCCAGAGGTCAGTGATGGATGAGCTATTCCCACAAGTGGGCAAGGTCAGTGTCTTTCCTTCCCCTGAGCCATGCTCTTCTTTCTCCTCCCCAGCTTCTCCCATCTTGTAGTCCAGGCTGCTCTTGGAGGGGCAACTCTTCCTGCCAAAGTCTGAACTGATAATTTCACTCATGGCATTTTGCAAGGTGCCTAATTACACTGCTTTGAAGTGGCAATTTGCAGGATGCTGGATTTTTTTGGTTGAATTTAATAGGAAAGATGTTGCATTTTTATGGGCATAAGCATTGTGTTTCAGACAACATTAAGCTAATTCTGTGGAGAGGTCTGTAGCAAATGCAATAATATATATATATTTCCTATGGTCATGCTTTTAATAAAAGTTCCAGGATAAATTGCTATTAAAATATTTCAAGAAGTCTCTTAAATTGCATTATTGCTAAGAGAGCCTCTTCTGTCCTTGGTTTTAATTAAATGTGTATTCATTGAGACACACAGAGAAAAAAACAGAAAACAATGCTTGTGCTGAACAGCAACAGCTTTTATGAAGGCCTTTTTTTACCTAATGTTGCTGTTTTTCTAAAAACTCAAAAGAGATAATCAAATGGTGGATCCCACCCCCCCACCCCCCGTTCTGCACTACCATGAACGGATAATACAAATGACAGAGAAAAAACAGATAGCTTGGCAAATTAGTATAGAAAAAAATAGTAAATGAAGAGCACTGTTAACGTTACAGAACAATCCAAGTGAGCTACAATAACCTCTATTCAGACATGGTATACCTGATTGCCATGTGCT